AAGAAACTCACCGTTTTCGAGCTTCACAAAGCTCTAGGCCATATCTCACAGCCGGCGGTCCAGCATGCGATGCAGAAAGGACTCATTGAGGGTGTTGAGCTAGACTCCACCTCTCAGCCTGAGTTCTGTGACGCATGCGCCAAGAGCAAGGCTACCAGGGTCCCTTTCCCAAAGGAGACGGACAGGCGAGCAAAATCCTATGGCGCCCTAGTACACACGGACCTTTGGGGCCCCTCCCAGACTGCCAGTCTAGGAGGCTGCAACTATTATATGAGCTTCACGGATGATTACACCCGTGAAACCAAAGTCTGGTTCCTAAAGGTGAAAAGCGAGGCGTTAGAGGCATTCAAACAGTATACGGCTCACCTCGGCAGACAGCACCCGGGAGTCAGGGTCCAAAAGATCCGGTCAGATCGCGGAGGGGAATATCTCTCTGCAAAATTTGATAAGTACTTGCGAGACGAGGGAATAGAACGTGAACTTACTGTTCACGACTCCCCACAACAAAACGGCATGGCGGAACGCCTAAATCGCACGTTAGTGTCCCTCGCACGGGCCATGCTCCTAGGACGAGAGCTGCCAAAATACCTGTGGGCCGAGGCGATTAGCTATGCAACCTGGCTGAAAAATCGCCTACCTTCGAGGGCAATACCCAACCAAACACCATATGGTTTGGTGCATGGCACCAAGCCGGACTTGTCCCTAGCCAAGGAGTTTGGCGTCTCCTGCCTGGTCCACGTGGGCAACACGGGGAAGTTGGATGCAAGGGCGGAAGAGGCCATCTTCGTAGGTGTTGACGCCGAGAGTAAGGTGTATCGAGTCTATTGGGCAGGGAAGCGTAAGGTCTCAGTAGAACGCAATGTCGTATTCCCACCTACCACCGTTGAGGTTGCTGCTGATGTGCAGGACGAGGGGGAGTCTGGATCCATGAAGCCTTCGAACGTTAGCGTCCAGGCAACATCACCAGCCAATCCACCACTCACCAGTCCAAAACCTCCTTCTACGCCCCCACAGTCACCCCAACTCCCTCAAATACCACCCGAGCCACGAGCCACGAGGACGAGACCCCCGCCAGGATACTATGCCTCCCTCCATGAAGGAGAGGTAGCGGCGCTAGCTGCAGAACCACTCCTCATAGCGTCAGAAGGCACAAACGATGGATCAGACGGACCACTTACCTGGTACACGATGGCTGCTGCAGAGGCAGAACCCACCCTCCAACAGGCCTTGAGTGGGCCGGATGCGGGTGAATGGCAGGAGGCGATAGACTATGAATTAGGTCAGCTGGAGAAGCTTGGAACGTGGGAGATCGTCAACGCACCTGACCGTGTGAATTTGATCCCGTGCCATTATGTTCTGGCCACAAAGAGAGGTCCAAACGGCGAGAAGCTAAAGCTCCGCGCCCGGCTAGTAGCAAATGGACAACGACAGAAGTTCGGTGTCGACTATTTCGACATGTTCGCACCCACCTCCAATATGACGACGATTCGGGCCGTTCTATCTATGGCCGCCAAACTTGACTGGGAAATCCATCAAGTGGATATTAAGAGTGCGTACCTGTATGCTGAGCTTAAAGAGGACATTTACATGCGCCCACCGCCTGGATACTTGAAGAAAGGAGACGAGGGAAAGGTGTTGAAGTTGAGAAGGAGTCTGCCGGGTCTGAAGCAAGCTGGGTATGAGTGGTCTGAGGAGTTAGCGTCTGTTTTTGCCAGGATGGCCTTTACCCGCTCCCAGATCGACCAAGCCGTCTTCTACCGCTCCGTCGATGACGAGCACACCGTCGTGACTGTATCAGTCGACGATACATCAGCAAAACCCTAACCCTATGTACAGCGCTGCACAACCCTGCACAGCATCACAGCGTCACAGCAAGGTCCCCCCATGCACAGCGCTGCACAGTGCTGCGCACTACACAATTTCTCAATAAAACATAATTGTTAGTATACCATCATGTTGTATATATATTTATGACTACATTACATTTATTTTTACATAGAATTAGTACTTCTGTGATGCTGCAGAGCCTTTGCAAAAAAAAAATTATGACCTGTGACACGCTGTGTGGCTGTGGCACTGTACCCAAATCAGGGTTTTGCTGATGTATGGCCGTAACGTCGAAGCACCTCCGTCACATAGCTAAGTTCAAACAACAACTCACACAGTACTTCGATATCTCCGACCTCGGTGAGCTGAACTGGTTGCTGGGCCTCAAGGTCGAATGCGACCGTCACACTCGCACCATCCAGCTTTCCCAAAGGGCCTACATTGACACCATAGTCGAGCGTTTCCATCTTGAGGACGCGAAACACGTCGCAACCCCCATGGAAACAGGTGTAGTCCTGTCCGATGCTAACTCTCCCTCAACCCACGCTCAAACAGAGGCCATGCGAAACGTACCCTATCAGCGAGCCATCGGCTCGCTGATGTATGCAGCCACGAGCACTCGCCCAGATATTGGGTTTGCCGTTGCCATACTATCCCAGTTCATGCGGAACCCCGGCGTAGTCCATTGGGACGCCGTCAAAAGAGTCCTGAGGTACCTGAAAGGTACATCTGACTATGGAATTACTCTAGGGGGTTCAGGAACGGGACTGGAAGCTTACGCGGACGCAGACTGGGCCTCGCAGGCCCACAGGCACTCAATGACGGGCTACATCGTCATGCTAGACGGTGGCCCAGTAGCGTGGAGTGCACACAAGCAACCGATAATCGTGTTGTCTACGGCCGAGGCAGAATACATCGCACTGACCACTGTAGGCCGTGAGATAATGTATCTCCAGCTACTCCTCGAAGAACTTTACCAGTGCACGCCCATTGCTACGCCCTTGTACTGTGACAACCAGGCCGCCATAGCACTTGCAACCAACAATAAATTCCACTCCCGCACGAAACACATCGACCTACGCTATCATTTCGTTCGATTCCACGTTCAGCACGACACCTTCACTCTCATTTATTGCCCCACCGACGATAACGTCGCAGACGCACTCACGAAGCCGCTACCACGTCCACGCCTGGAGAAGCTACATGGCATGATGAAGCTCGAGTGCGCTCGAGGGGGAGTGTTAAAAGGTGCGTCTAATACGCCTGTTTAAAAACGAGTGCACCGTTTCAGGTCTTAGCTCGTTGTCGGCCGAATGTCCTGTTAAACGGTCTCAGAATCATATTTTTCTATTCCTACTCTACCCGCACATAAAAACGAACCCTCGTAGAATTAGGCATCTCAGTCTTCCTCCCGGATACTGAGATGTAAGCACCAGTACCATCGTATAACGTATCATCAGCTAACAAAGACTTAGCATACCTTTTGTCATAGGTACTTTTAGCACGTGGAGTCTTCCTCCCGGATACTGAGATCATACCTTTCGTCATAGTTGTCCTTCTCCCCGCGTGTCCGCATCCTCGAAGTCAACAACACCCGCCCGACCAGCTAAAATCGGCCTCAAAAATGCGAAACTTTTGGCCTCAAAAATGCAATTCCGGGCAGAGGTCAAAAAATCACGTGGTGTGACATGCTGTGACCTCCCGCTAATGCGTGACAGATTGTGACACGCTACTCACCGGTGACAACAGCGGCGACCATAGAGGCACATAGTATCTCAATCAAATGTAATAAGTTTACTAGAATAGATCAACCACTATTTCTCGGTCTCTCATGCCTGTAATTTCGGTACCTTGTATCTTCCGGATCTGATGCTTAAGGTCTTTGGAAAGCATGATGACAAGAAGCTGTTTTATGAGGCGTTTGAGGGGGCGTGTATTTGAGTCGGGACAGGTCGGAATAGGGTTCAAACCTTCACCGCTGGACGAGTGTCCTATAAACCTGTTCTGAAGGACGTGAAAAATGCAATAGCCGGATAGGCCTTTCGTCCACAGTGTCTCAAAAATGCTATTTCCGGGCAGAGATTTTGTGATATTTGGCGCTCAAAAATGCTATTTTGCGGGGGTACATTAGCTGGAGCTTCCGGGGGCCTCGAAAGGCGAAGATGGCCAAGTCTGCCGATACCTGTTCTAAACGCGATTCGAAACGTGTGAAAACAGCTGGTATGGACTTAGACTCGGAGGTTTGCAACTTAGAGCCACCCGAGATCTTTTCTTCAAATATCGAGTCTCCCATTCCATCTTCATCGTCTAGCACTACTCTTTTGCCGCCACTGTCGCTGAAACCAAAGCCTCAGACAAAAAATTCAGTAAGAGATACGACAGATTATCATTGATCAAAACGTTCGGTTCTCCATCTCTCGTAAGTTCAACCGGCGAAATAAAATAATAACAGCAAAAGCATCTCCACCAATCGCATGAGTGTGCTACTGAGGTCGTAAGTGTTGGTAAGTGTCCATAACGCGTGTAAGTTAAGCGTTCATTTCAGTGGTTTTGCAGATGCATGGAAGCACTAAGTATGTAGTCGATGCTGAGATATCGAGCAATGGCCCTGCCCCGCGATCGACAAACATTCCTAGCAAGCGAAATCAATAAACTTTGAATGTTTGTAAAGCCATTTGCAATTCGCCGCCGTGGGAGTCGCTAGGCTGAAAAAGCGACTGATCTCGTCGTAACGCCGTCGAAGAACATTCCTGCCAAGCGAGCATGGAAGTGCCAGGGCGTCGTATGTAGTCACCGCCGAGAAATCAATGATAAAATGCCAGAAATGGTGCTCGACTCCTTCGGCAACGAAAGTGAAAGTGTTAGGATGAGGTAAATTCATCGACAAACATTCTTGATAGGAGGAAACGAGGAATGATCGATAGCTCCTTTTGCGATGAAAGTTCCAGAGCGGCGGTCATGAGCCAGCGAGTTGCCATCGCCCTATGGTTTGGCACCAGCATCGAGCTGCTCGCACGATTCAGGAGGGACGCCAGAATGCCGTGGCCCGTCGCCGAGTCTGCACCTGAGGAGTCCGCATATAAATGATGTTGCGACCGCAGGTTTGAAGACCAACTCACTTCTCGTATTCTCTTTCTTGCCTCACAAACAACAAATCTCATTCATCATTCATCATGGCTATCAGCGGTGTCCTTGTAAACGTACACAACCCTGCCCTCGTGTTGACGATGACCAAAGACGGCAAGGTCGAAGGTCAGAGTCTGAACCATACCGGCCGTGACAATCAGCTGGTCAGTAGACGTCCAGAGATGAAGTTCCGACCCTAACGCTGACAGTGATATCATCGATAGTGGTTCGCGCAGTTCAGATATGTCAAAGAAACAGACGCGTATGTGTGGTCGGTCCTGAACAAGGGTACTGGAAAGTACTTGTCGTGGAACGTAGGTGTCTGCGAGAAGCGATTCAGATGTCAATCTCACCACTTTGCACCAACTTGCAGTCGAGCATGCAAGTCCTCATGAGCGACACTCAACACTGGTGGAAATTGGCCATCGTAGGCGAGAATATCGGGTGCGTATCATGCGTGGTTCGGACCAGGCCTATCGACTGACGATGAGGCGCAGATTCCAAGTCCCCCATGCGTCCAAGGACGATGAAAGCTACTACACTTTGGAGCTTGAAGACAATGCATCGGTGACGTGGCCCGTTGACCGTGGTATCGTACTGTTTTCTGACGCTCGTTGCAGGTCACCCTCAAGAACCAGACGGGGACTGTCATCAGCAGGCAGCTGTGGACTCCCGTGGATAAATGAGCGTGCGCCTGAAGGATTTCGTTTCAAGTTGGCTGTCTCGCGAATGTGTTAGTCTGCGTGCTTTTTGACGAACGTGACATCCAACTGTCGCGGTAAATGTGCCGCAGTCCCTGTTTTTCGTATCTTTTGTACACGTATGCATTGTTGTCTGCCGCGGCCCATAGCACGCTTGTGGTTGGTTCCGTGAGCGCGAGGTAATTCTCAACCAGCAACATTGAAAAACACGCATGTCTTCGATATTCGTACGTGCCGTGCCTCTGATGATTCGAGTGGGCATTGGCGGGACGAGGCGTGCGCTAGCTCAGAGAAGGTGTGGTACATCTCCAGATGCTCTGGACGCCGCATAAATCAATAAACGACCCCGCGTGCGAGAGAACGGGGATACTCGCCCGCAATCCACTATAATTTTTGCTTCCTGATCCTGGTATATCGCGCTCTGCGAACGTTATCTTGCGAGTAGAAGTGTCGATTGAGAAAGAGGATGTATCTTGACATTAACATTCTCGGCGAGGTCATCCACGTGGACGTCCTCTGGCTCTGTTTTGAATTATATGATTAGCCTGTCCGCCTCAACTATTCGATTCTTGTTCCTTCCTTTCTTCTACTGCCGTTCTCTCCTCCAACCAAGTACTACTGACGTGCGCCACGAGTTTGCAAGGACGTCGGCAGGCAGGCGCGGGCGTGCATCAAAACATGAGAGGGACGACGAAGACATAGCTGACGGTGGATGACCGGAAGGTACAACTCTTGCGACTGAGATCGGACGGAGATACATATGTTCTGTATGATCTTCAACGTATTGCTGAACCGGACCTTTTGTTGCTAAAAAGGAAGTCGAAGGCTTTGGGATTCATTATGTACAAACAACCGTGCCGAGGCCATTACAATATCACATGTGATATTCTTCAAGATTAGTAGTAAGAAGACCAGTTAAAAGCCCCCTTCAATCTCCGTGATGCTGAGCGAGTCCGGGTCCGAGTCTCCGCATAGTTCTAGGGAGACGGATGAAAGGGACGGGCGAACAGGAACAAAGTTTATCACTAGACCCTAATATTACAAAAAACAAGAAGCTGGAGGGAGAATGGTAGACATAGAGATATCCGATCACCCAGCGCGATGAAGGTCAGCGTAACTAGATCTAGAATATGCAAGTATCTCGTGGTCAAGAGATTCCGCATTCTCACAATGTGAAGTGATTCGCATGACACAGATCTTAGCCTGCCTAGATTTGATTACTGTTTTCAAACTTCCAGGTTAATGCTTTAACCAGCAGCACCTATAAAGCGCGTGAGCACATAACTGACGAACAACCAACCAACCCACACTGGTCTGAAATATCTAGCCCTTTTTACGGTAAGTTTCACCTCACCAACAATATACGATGACACTGATGTGGTCTAGATGAGTTTGTTGACGATGATTATCCTGGCATTTACGGCTGGTGGTCCTCTTTGTGCACGAGCCATGCCTAGCCCCGAGACCACTTACACCCCATGCATTTGGAGAACGCTGTGTGGGGAAACGTGCGCCCAATTGTATACAGTGGACACCAGAGTCTGCAATAGTACCAATGACGCTCTCGCAATTCAGTATTGCTGTGCATACTAGTATCGGGAAAACATTGTAACGCAAATGAGGGGTCCGGGTATGTTGGCGGCGATACTCTTTATCAGAAACACGTACTAAGCACAAAATAGAGATGAAAACACACACGTTGCAAAGTGCAATAAAAGATCCCCGAAAGATTTCTCGTAGATTGTATTCTTAGTTGCTCTTGTAAGGACTTTTCTGTCACGCACTTGTTGATCATCGTCAAGGAATCAAACTTGTTCTTCATGAATGCTGTACGGACCTAATGGTCGTTTCAGGAAGGGACTACTCGCACTGCTCAGGACAAGTCCGATACCAAAACGGGACGACACCCGTCCAATATTCGTTGTTTGGTGGTGAAGAAAATCTTGAAACTGTGACCTTTATTTCGCTTGGGTATTCCGGAGAAAGGAAATGAACACTACCTGAAAGATAGCCAAATCTCAGAAGCACGCAGTGCGGTGTAGGCTGGTGTTCAGGGTAGCGCATCCCAAGTTCGTGGAATCAACAAACAAATACAATGTCTTGTGGATGTGCAGTGTACTGTAAGCGATGCAGAATATGATTTTCCTGGATCCATTCACCGGAGGTCAAGAACAGCGCGGGTCAGAGAGCTTGACAACTACCGCCGGTGTTTAGAAACAACCTGGAAAGAAACGATGCTACTCACACCGAAAATGCCACGAGCGAAGTTGACCTGGTCGCTCAAGCCCTCATAATCTTTCCTACCCGCTAACCTGTGAAATTGGGAATGTAAACGCACGTGCATGTTTGTATGTACACTTGCAATCTGATCAGCAACGGTGTTTAACGCCAGCAGGCGTCAAACATATTGATGCCAAATTTTATTCAAGGCAAGGGGCATAGAGGGCGATAGTCTGCCTCGATGGAAAAGGCAAGCTGCACTTGCCTACATGTCCTCATAATGCTAAGTATGTTGTCTGTCCGCAGGGGAAAGCCACGATAGGTACCAGGGACGCTGTGATTGACACGGTACAAAGTCACAAGTACGCAACGTTTACTTCCGACCGGCTCTCCACTCTCCAGTCGCATACAGAGCTTGCTTACCAGCGAACACGGTTGGAATAGCAAGGATACCTCCGTACAGAAGCACCTGACCAAGCTTGAGATCTACCCAATACCAGACAAGTAGCACTTCAAAGGCGCCGAGGAGGGCAGTAAAGGGTATGATACTGAGTGAAAAGAGGTTCGGGACCTTGACGCCAATTTTACTCCACTTTGATAACAAAGTTCGTCAGCTGAGGATTGATTTAATACAAAAAACGTACCAGTCCGATCAACACGAGCCAAGGCGACAGTACAGTCGCTGCAAATACGGCAGAGACAAACTGAGGAGGTGACTTTTGTTCAGGGCGGAAGGTATGCTTGATGGCGGGGAGGACATGGAACGACGCTTCATCCGGGTGTTCAGCAGGAGTTTGGGAGGCAGGTAGGTAGAGGTCAAAAAGGTCGTATTGTGCAGGTGCGTGCACGAAGGAGCCCAGAATAAGCGAGACCTCAAGGGGGTTGTGCGTGGTTGGCGGGATGGACGCAGGTGGGCGCACCATGTTCTAACATGGCGATTAAATCTAACGCATTTTGCAACAGCAAAAGTGATGCAACGCACCAGCTCAAATTTAGCCTTTCCTCCTGGGGTCACACGAACAGGCTGGATGCCCTCCTCGCCAGACGCCTTGTCATAGAATCGGAGGAAGGTTTGGTGCGGTTGAACACCTTTGCCCTCGTCACTTTCCGTTATCTGGAACGTAAGCTTAAGAGTGTCAGTTGGGCCAAGAGTCAAAGGCTCTGGTTTTTCGGTCAAGGACAGGCTATATGGCATATGAGTTATACTACAGCAGGAATGTGATTAGCGCATACGTGTCCGAGCGCAGCTGAGTCGCATCTGGCGTGCTAATTGTGAAACGAGGAGACTGAAGGGACAAAGAGGCCGCTTGGACAGTTGCTGCAAGAAGCAGCCAAGAGAATTGCCATACCATGGTTTTAGTTAAGATGTTGCAGTCCCAGTTTGGATGACGTGTTAAGTCTTCAAGCTCAGCTAAAGTTCTACAAAAATAATAAAAACAATTTATTCCTGAAGAGCAAAAAAAGACCCCACCGTGGTTCGAACACGGGACCGCACGATCTGCAATCGTGTGCTCTACCACTGAGCTATAGAGTCGATATCGCACATTGCCCACTTGAATGATATATTACCGTTTCCAAGACTTACATAATACTGACCCCATCAACACACTGGCAGGACGCGTCACCGCGTCATTAACTATCCTTTGCATCATGCCCGACGTCGAGATTGTGAAGGCTACCGACAAGAAGGACGAAAAGAAAGATGAAAGGAAGCCAGAACCACCGACACCGACGCAGGAGATTAAAGCTAACATCGCGCTCATCGACCGTGCTATCAATGACCTCGAAACCCGGCTCACTCATCGCGTCTTACGTTCACTAACTGCGCTGCGAAAGCGCATAAATGACAAGGTTCTACGCGATGCCATCGAGGAGAATTATCCCAAAGGTGTGTGGTGCATTCACACCTTCTACTCGTATGCTCAACTTTGCGCAGACTCTGCTGTCAAGAATTCTCTACTATCATGGCTTCCTCCTGCTCCTGCCGTGGAACAGTCCATGGAAGTAGATACAACATCAGGGACAAATGCTACTGCATCTTTGCCTCCATCGTCGAAGCCAACTTCTGATCCTGTACCAGAAGCTGAGATTTATTTCCGTCTGCTCATCATTCATCATCTCCACACGTCCAAAGACACATACTCCAAGTCCATAGAGCTTTCTCACGAGACTGTCGACAAAATGCAGGCCATGAACCGTAGAAGTATGGACCCAATAGCTGCCAAGATATGGTTTGCCGTAGAGCGATCATATGAACTCGGCGGAGAGTTGGCAGATGCCCGCCCGTGAGTTCAGGTCCATGTAAATTTGGCACGGTCTTAACTTGTCGTTTTCCAGAATGTTCCTCGCTGCGCAACGCACTGCGTCTCTTCGTCACGATGATGACACGCAAGCCTCGCTGATCAATCGCTTACTTCGGGGTTATCTCCACTATAATCTTTACGACCAGGCTGACAAGCTAGTGTCCAAGACTACTTTCCCTGCCTCAGCGAGCAACCCGCAGTATGCCCGCTACCACTATTGTCTTGGGCGCATCAAAGCGGTGCAACTGAATTATACTGCGGCACACACGAACTTGCAACAAGCTATCCGTCGCGCCCCTGCTGCAAAGACTGCGCCAGGGTTCTACCAGGTCGTGCACAAACTTTTTGTGATCGTTGAACTTTTAATGGGTGACATTCCGGACCGGGGTCTTTTCCGGCATCCGGTATTAGAAAAAGCCTTAAGTGCTTATTTTGATATCGTGAAGGGTAGGAAAATTTACT